TCTAAAAAACTACAATATGATATATATATGCAAGTACATATATTAGTAATTCAAGATTGAATTATTTAAAGAAATAAAGATCCAGCTTCGATCACAATAGACATTTTTTTAGTATTGAAAGTTAATATCTACATTACTTTTGGATTTGAAACTTTAAACAAACCGTTTGTAATTAGTTCTGATTAATTCGCGTTTAATACCAAAATGTAAATATTTAATAATTTAACGATAGTTTTAGAGGCCTAACATATCACAAAATTAATACCTACATGATATCTAGATTCAAATTTGAAACATATTCTTATGTTTAGCTTTAATTAACTTATGTATATCGCTATAAATAATTATTTTAAATATGCAATTTTTTCCCTCTGCCGAACAATTTTATATTTTTTATTTGTGTCACTTTTCTTGTGGGATGCAAAGTTTTGCACTTCTTTTAAGTGTAACATCTTTTATCTGAGGCCCAAGGGTAAATGAGGTTTATTGACTATATAAAAAAGTTCAGCTTAAGTTCATAAATTTCAAATGTATATAGAAACTATAATGCTCATGGATTCTTTGAAAGTTACTTTTTATTTCAAAGGAATTTATGCTCCAAGAAATCTAATCGTTACTAACTAAATTATTATCGAAATTGTATCTCGTGCTTATAATTATTTCTAAAAAGCCACCCTGAAATCGAATATAATCAATCAGAGATCATTTGCGCATTGTTTTCGCGGGCGATCATCTCGCGTTTGCAGTGCATGATGATGGACATACACGATTTGGAAATTTCCGAAATTGGAATAACGGCTCTCTGGATGCGGTCGGCCGATGCGTACAATATACAGTTACATAACTGCCAGTTTCAGCCGGGACACGACGCGCCATGAATAAGTCTCTAACCACTCTTGTTGGCCCGACATTGTCAGCAGAGCAGCTTTCGACAGCTCGTCCCCTTGCCTCCATCACCCCCGCGTTGTTGTAACCAGGTCTCTTCGAGCTCTCGTTATGACGTCCCGTAATGAGAACGTCGAAATTCTGTGTAACCCCTTTTACCGGCTCATTCCCGCTCGCCATCAGTAACGCGATTCAATGTATCTTCACGAAAGAGGTATCGAATGCATTCGTTCCCGTAATAATATTCCGGAGATAAATTAATGAAAATGTAGACAATTGCGAAAATGAAGGAACGTGACTGCTTCATAAACGCAGACGAACATTATTCTCACGAATCACGAACGAGGAGATATCATCTCCTCTTCACTAAAACTGAAATTTTAATTGGTGACTTCCTGCAATTATAATTCAGATAATTCACAGATGGACAATCTTTAGTGCTTGTATCGTATAGACGTACAAAATACTTCATATCAAGCTATAAAGACAAAAAAGTGGATATCTTAGCTATGATAGCTAAGAATGATAGTTTTATTAGAATGATAGCTTTCATTTGTAAAAATATAAAAATTCGTAACTTCTTTTTCTGTAGTTTTAAAGGACTTTTTCGCAAAGTACAGCACCCTCTGCGTTAGCGTTAACAGGGCTGTCACAAATTTCTCATCCTAAAATCCCATAACTTTTCCCAGATTTTCAAATAAATTTCCTTGACTTTCAAGATTTTTTACATTTTTGTCTTGATATGGAAACCGTTAAATATTTTATTGAAAGATCAACACAGCAATGTAAATTACTATTAATGTTACTAACACTATTTGCATTTTTCATTGTAAAGTTGATAGTATTTCAAAACTGCATATAGATATGATGTGTTAAATTTTTTAAAGCTATGAATTTTAATTTTTTCAGAAAATTTTACAAAATTCTCTGACTTTCCTCTGATTTCCCTGACCATCTTCAATTTCCTTGACAATTCTCTGATTCCCTTGATTTTGTGGTAACCCTGGTCAAATTGGGTCGAGCGAATTTTGGTTTTGTAGCGCATTTTCGCCCTCCGCTCATAAGTGAAGATCGTACAAGATAGGAAGGCGAGACCGCTTTCCCGGCGTGCCTCTCTCACAGCAGTAAAGTAAGTTCGCCACAGTCACCCAGCGTACTGGTAATTAAAGTAATGAAGGATAAACCACCTGAAGTAACTCGTGTAATTTATCCGTGACTGCTTCCCGACTAGCTCATTATTGTACTTTGACCTTCTTCCGTGAATTTACTTCCATCCCTTCCGCTTCTGACGTGCGGAACATACGTCTAAATTTTTACAGCTGCGACAGTCTGCAAATAATTGTTTTAGGCGAAACGGTCGGAGAGATGAGCGAGAGCGTAACACAACGGTTGAAAGGAGAGATAATTTTCATATCGGGAAACCCGGAGAGAGAACCGTGGTCGTACGTTTCACAAAATAATTCAAACTAAACATTTGTTCGCTAGAGAAATATGTCTGGGATAATACGAGGAAAAATTTGAATAAGTAGATATTTAATCAATAATAAACACGAGTGGTTTGCATAATTATTTCCAGTATCTTTTGTGAAAACTCATATTGAAAGAAAAGTATTTATAACTATAAATTGAATGGTAAAATAATTACGATTAAAAGCTTCATAGTTCTATATAATACCAAAAAAATTTATATATATAATTGATATTGACTGTAATTCATCGTACATGACTATAATTTGTAGTCATTTTTAGTAATTGTATATAGGATGTCTTACGCAAAAGTGTTGACACAATCAACTGTCATTTTCAAATTTATTCAGTCATTGAAAAAAAATTGTATTGAAAAGAGAAAAGTTTGCAATTTTTAATAAGTATAAATAAAATTTAACAAAATGTTTGTATATGAGTTTATTTTATTCAGGAAAAATATATTATTAATTCTAAGAATTAATATTTTACACTAGTAGAAGTAAACACTATCAAAATTTGTACAAAACTCATTTTTTAAAGGAAAATTCGTAAAACGTACTTTTCTTGCATGTCGTTTTTAATATTTCTGATAACCTTTTTATAGCTATTAAATCTGATACTGTTTTCGGATCGTATGTATGATATTGGATATTAATTATTAACTTAATTGATTAATTCATATTGTTCATCAATGAAGTATACTAATACAAACATTTTATTAAATTTTATTTATACCCATTAAAAGTTACAAATTTTCTGTTTTCATAATTTCCTTTTTCAGTAATTAAACATATTCGAACATGGCAGCTAATTATGCAGTTGCAACACTTTCCCATTGAACACCATGTTTGATAGAATTATATTTAAATATAATTATTATTACTATTATAATATTATAGCACAATAACTATAACAATTAAACTCTTGACCATAATTATTTTATCATGCAATTATAGTCATATACAAAGAGAACGGTTTTGCTGAAATTTTCAATAGATACATATCTGATAAAAATTTTGTTAAATCAAAATAATTATATTATAGAACGCTTAAATGAGGAAAATGCAGAAAGCATTTGACATTCTAGTAATCAGTTCAAGCGTCTTAGACAATTATTTTGATGGTCGATACAAAATTGTTTTCAGATCTGTGTCTAAAATAATATAATTATACGTTTTACTTTTTATAATTACATAATTGAATATCCTCTATTCTGAGCTTTCCAAATTGACACACTTAGAAAAAAGATGCAACTCGATCTCTATGACATTTCTATTCTAATTAATTATCTCGCATGGTTTCATCTGCGAATCTCAATATCTGTGTCTAGCTATAAAATTTTTAGACTTCAGCAAATCCATTCTTTCCGTGTAAATATGTACGAAATAGCTTTCTTTTTAGTGCATATTCCTGAAGAATATGCTTTCTGTTATCTCGACAAAGAGACACCACTTCGGAAATATCGTAAATAAAAAGTGTATCATTAATCACACAGGCACATATTAATTAACTTTTTTAATTCGCGCCTCTTGCATGCATAAATAATGTGAGCTTTTTACAATGCGATCGCATCATCTATATACATTGAATAATTCAAGCGGACGAAAATATAATTCACGCCGCCGTGCAATAGATAGAAGAGTTGCACGTGCACGTAAAATTACTGCGGTAATACGAGGATACGTGAAGTTCCGGGGGTTGGACCCATAAAAGTTTCAAGCAGTTTTCTAATTTAAACTCCCGATGCTTTCTGCTTCATTAAAGCCCTATCTTATCGAGCGGAAATATTCATGTAAATTGTGGCCTTGGTGCGCACCGTACGTTCACAAGCTGGCGCTTCGCGGGACGAACATTATTTCCATATCGACTTTTACAGGGCGACGAAAATTTATCGCGGCGCAAGAGCACAGTGTTTTAAAACAATATTTTTGGAGATGAAGGGAGATGAAATTATTTTCATCCTAGTTTGCGGCTTTATCGAATACAAAGTTACTCTGTTGACAAGTTGCCAACTGTCACTTCACTATCGTGATGAAATTTCGTTTTCTATGAAAAGAAATGATTTCCAAGAGGAATAAATTTTTTTATCTGATTAATACAAGAAAAGAACAGTTTTATTAAAATAGTTAAAAATTTACACTTAACTAGATACAAATCTGAAAATAATTTTGTTGACTCATTAAAATAATTAAAACAATTTTAAGTAACTTGATCACCATATCACGTAATAATTTCATTAATTGTCCAAATAAAATTATTTTCAGAATGTATCTAACTAATTTGTAGATACTTCAGCAAAATTATTCTGTAATGATTAATCTATTATATTGAAAAAAGTGTAATACCATTTTCAATCATTTTATCAGATTTTAGTTTATCTATATAAAATATAGATTTAATAAAAATATTGAAAATGATGTTCCTTCCAATATAATGTTAGCAACGTAAATATCGCTAAAATAATATAATTACACATTTTACTTTTTATAATTACATAATTAAATATCCTCTATTCTGAGCTTTCCAAATTGATACACTTAGAAAGAAGATGCAACTCGATCTCTATGACATTTCTATTCTAATTAATTATCTCGCATGGTTTCATCTGCGAATCTCAATAAAGTTTCATCATAAATTCTTTGTCTCAGAACACCAACGGGTCTGGAGGATGTCAGCAAGTATCCGGAGCTCTTCGCGGAATTGCTAGCGCATGGATGGTCGGAGAAAGACATCCAGAAGTTGGCTGGTCTGAATCTTATACGGGTATTCAAGGCGGTGGAACAGGTAAATTATTCTCTAGTCGTAGAGGAAAAAGGAGAGGATCATTTCTCCTCACATTCAACTTCTCGCATCACTTGATGAAAAGAGCGGACGCGTGTCGAAAGTGGAAAAGTCGCACCGATGAAAGGATAGAAGAAGAGAGAGAGAAAGAGAGAGAGAGAGAGAGAGAGAGAGATCGAAGGAAAGCGCTCTCGTTTCTGCCACGAAATAACCGATGGCCTGGTTTGGGTTAGCCGAGTCGACCAATATCGGATTTAATAAAGCACACAAATCATGCATCCGGTCTGCGCGCTGCACCGTCGGACGAGAGAGAGAAGCCGATTGGGCGGACCATGATTTTTGTTCCCTTGGAGTGTTGCCAGTCGTAGAACCAGCTGGCACTATCCACTAACCCATCTGATAGTTCCCTTTCTCTCTTTCTTTCTATCTTATTCACGCCTGTGACGTACAGCCATGACTACATATGGTGTGTGTATTAAATGGCTCTGAAGTATCGCTCAGCATCACTCAACACTGACGTTTCCTAATATAAGTACACTTGGTGAAAGATAAGCTCGGACATTCCAGGGAGAGTCGTTGCACCTGGAACCCTCCTTCGCTCGTCAACGTTAATTAAAACTCAACGCTCGAAGCTTGTTTACGTATGAAGTTACGGGGATCGCAATTGTTCTCCGTTTAACAAAAAGAAAAAGTAACTAGTAATAACTTTTTACTGTTAGGTTTTCTATCGAAATAATAACGGGAAAAAGAATATGAACATCGCTGAAGAATTAAAATTGCAATGCCTAAATTAAAAACGATCTCCATTTATTCGTTTATCTGATTATAATATTATGTCAATATTTGCTAATGGAAATGTATCATTAAAAATTCATCTGATTCTCCGCTTAACTAAAATTGAATTAAACTCTCTCTAATTTGTGATTCAGCTTCTACCCTTTGGTCACTCGATTAATGTCTCGTATATTTCAATGTTAAACGCCCAGTTTCGCGGAGTGCAGTCGAATGCAGATCGTCCTATGAGAATTCCGACGCGCCTGAAAATGTTTCAGTCCGGATATTACCCGGTGGTACACGCCCCGACAGGAATGATGTGAGAAATTATGTGCGCCGGATGTTCCGGATGTTTGAGGACGCTCAGGATGGCCGTTGTTGAAATTACTGTGATAATTTAATTGCGGTGCGGCATGGTCAACGGAACCGCGGGTTATTCGTCCGAAGCAGGAGTTGTTTATTATATTTAGAGAAGAATGTGTATCGTGCATATACTTTTGTACATGTATATACATACATTTGAATTGTAATGTAATAAACGCCGCCGCGATGAATTACGCGTGAAAGCGTAAATTTTGCGTTCGCGTAGCAATCCTCCGAGCGTCGGTTTCCGTAAAAACAAAGACACAGCGATCATTCCAGCTAGGATAGTTGCAGAATTAAAATTATCCTCTGCATTTTTCAATGATTTATCGCGAAAAAATGTCCGCGTCCGCGCTTTAAGGATATGTGAAAAAGCTGCGAGACGCACAATGGAAGCCTAATGGTTGCGTATTATTCGTAAGCGCGTCTTTCCTGTCACGGCGTTTTAAATTATTCCAATTTAACTTGGCGGATGCAATTTTCCAGATCCGGCCGCGGAGAGAATATTATTTGATTATCGGAATATGAAAATGTGTGACTTTCTACATCGAGGATAATTTGTAGCGCTCGAGTCGCGTAGAATTTCCGCGCTTATGAATCCAATTTCTTCCGACTAGGAGACGACAACTTGCCATTAATTCAATGCGCAAATTCGCGGAGAAGTCGACATATCTTCTTAACTGATACGCGCACACACACACACACACACACACATACACACACACACACGCGCACGCACATTTACATTACGCTTTTCTCATCGCAATGAGGTCGACGAGGGTAGGCAAATCCTTTGAGCAATTCCAACTCATCTCATCGCCGTTTTCCGCTCCATCGTCGTTGGCGGTGGACCGGGTTATACGAGGCAGGCGAGAAACGTCGTAATTGCTGAAATAATGGTCGTGCCTACAGTATGGCGCGGCGAACAAAACGGCGGCGATTACGTTACCTTGAAACTCAATTCCGCTATTGTTCCTCGCACAAGAGGGACGGAATTCGTAGGAACTTTGATACTGTTTCGTAAGACCGCGACTCCCCCGACAAACGCTCATCCGTAAGGATCCGTTCAGAAACAGTCGTGCAAATTCCTCGGGCGTAATGCAATCAGTGTCGTGCACATTCACATTATGTAAATCGCCGTACCACTTCGAAACACGCTAATGTTGAGTCAAGATGACTTTTTCATTTACTCTTCCTTTTATTTTTTAAGATAAATTGTAATAACTGTGATCCGCATATTTCTCTTTCGTGTGCGTGAAAAAAAAGAATTTATTTTAAAATGTTGTGAAAGAAGTTTACACCACATGTATGAAGTTGTTTTCCTTTCTTTTATAAAAGTGTGTGCATAACAAAAGCTTTACCTTTGTCATTGGTGCTTATAAAAGCAGAAATAGAAACAGTATAATAATAGAAATAATGTAATGTGAAATAACATAATGTTTTAATTATACTTAATATTATATTTAAAGTAATGACCTTTTCAAAATAATTAAGTAATTCAATTTCAACGTAATGATACAATTTCTCGGGAATATTATATTGCGGGGATTCATTTTCAATTTACGGAAAGCAGAATTTCGGTCTCTTTCTTCTTAAGATTTTTCCTTCCTATTATCAAATCCCTTTCATTAGCGGAACCACTGATGAACAGTCATCAACATGCCACACGCAATAATGCAATTAGTATCGCGCATACCGTACCATTATTGGCTTGCTGCGTATCGATCGCCATTACATTCTGCTGAAAACATCTAGCAGAGTTTTTCCAAATTCCGCCCTCATTTCATCCACATTTTATCTCGTCGAAACAATTTTATGTCTCGTAAATATCGGAGTACGTAAAATGTATGTATCGGCAAGTATGATGTACTATCATACTTGCCACCAAAGTGTCTATTTTCGAGAAATATAAATTGTAGTGCGATCAATATATAATTAAATATATGTATATGTATATGTATATATATATATATACATATTTATAATATATTTATAATATATATATATATATATATACACATAAATTATGACAGTCATATAATTTGTTTAATATATAATTGAATTTAATTATAATTTAATCGTGAAACTTTTCATAGAAGTATACCCGTATGCTGAAACGTATCAGTTTCAAAGAAATACATTCAGTTGAGATGATTTAAAAATATATAACTCTCATTTATGACATTCAATTTTTAAAAGAGAGATTGAGAGATAGCTTTCTGGTAATTCAATTTTAATAATAATATGAACTTTAATAAGATATTGACACATATAGCCCTTTAGATCTATCCATTAATATCTCACATTCAATATGACAAGCTCTCGTTCATGAAGATATTTTCTGCAAGCACATAAATCAAAGTGAATTTAATTTAATTTTTCATATACAAGTATTAAACTTAAATGTCAAAGTTTAAGAATAATTTTCATTTCGCGATATTTAATTTTTAGAATAGAAATTCACGGCTTTCAGCTTTGTGCAGTTCTCTCTTCAATTCAGGAAAATATGAACTATAACAAGGCAGCCTGCGCATTTATGATGAAAATCCTTCAACATCTATTAACTTTTAATCTCTCAGTCACTAGTTTCTTCGAACGCGCACGATTAAAATTTTGAAATAAAAAAAAAAGTATCAATTTGAAAGTAGAATATATAGAAAGATTGGCAGAGAAAAGGCTATTACATCTATGAGACGTCCGTATTGCTGGCGTTTATACCGTAAGTACCGTAACGTTACGTGCCCGAGGCATGAAAGCGACAATAAAGGCGGATTTGATTAGACTGTCGACGTCCTCCTATATCGCCCTCTCATTTCCTTTTCTGCGTTGTCTCGTAGCCGGAGATGCGCGCCGCCATCGCTCTCTGTATTCGTTTAATTGAAAATTCAGCGAGGCGGCAAAATGAAGCTTTACGTACACAGGATTTACGTCACGGAGTGTTGAACAAAAATGACGTTTATAAACGTCTAACATAACACGTGATATGTCCATTTTTTTCTAAAACATTTCTCCATTGCATGTTATATTAAAATATATATAAGAGAGAAAGAAAAGGAAAAAACAATGAGTCCAATAAAAATACTATTTTCATCTTAAATATTGTATACAAAAAATTACCTTTGTTTTTTTAAATACTATATTTCTTTTTTTATCAATAGGAGAAAAAAATTTAAAACTTTGCAATAATTTTTTTTAATCTACAGATATTATTTTAAGAATATTTCTCTTATTTTTTTTTAACAATTAATAGTCATATATGCTCTTCTATCTCCTTCACAGAATATTGGTTTCTCGCAACACAGATAATCAATGACCGAAAAATTACAGTTGCGTTTGCACGACGTAAATATTTGTGATAGGACGCCATCTTCCTGTGACGTTCGTTTAATTGAAAAACTGGGGGGGTGAATTTCGGGCGAGAGTGAAATTTACGTCACGCCATCCTAATATGTATTCCAGTGGGATCGACCCCAAACGGAGAACATCGTTTTCTTACTTTATGAAAGCAAAATAAATTTTACAAAGAGTGGAAAAAACGTGGCTAGCATTTCCAAGTCAATAAAAGCTTTTTACATCCCGACGCTTTATCGATAAATTATTTCAGTGCAAATCAGGGAGACTCTCTTCCTCTTCGTGATATAAAAAAAATTTTACTTTTCGAAGCGCCAATGAGAGAAACGCAGAAAGGATCTCAAATTTAATGACATTTTTTATATCTTTCCTCTATATGAAACATTCATTTCTTTCATTTCTTTTCGAATATCACTGATTCAGCGTACCTTCAATCCTTGTATCTATTTAATTAATGAAGGTACATCTACTCAAACCTATTAACTTTCATCAGAGTAACAGAATTTCAAATAATTAGTAGAGAAAAGAGTAGAAAGCATAGTGAATATTATAGCACAAAAAATTTTTCAAATCACACTGAAGAAAAGTCTAATAATATTATAGCTAGAGATATCATTAGAACGACATTGTTATTATTTTTAGCTACATTATTATTTTTTTCTGTGCTTTGTATTACTTCGGTTTCAAATTATACTATGTGTCCAATAATTTTGTTACAGCACTTAAAAGAATGCTATGCTGGTTTGAAAGGCTATTAATGAATAGCGACTTTGTTAATTTTCCTCTTATTTTAATATGACATATTATATCATAATTAAGTTAATATTATTAGGTCATAATATAAATCTAAGGCTATAATATAATAGGTTATAAATAACTATATTATAACTGTATTTTGTTTAGCATGTCGATGTAATATGTAATGAACATTACCAAATATAATAATATTAACCAACAGTTTAATAATTAAAAAAAGTAAGATAATATTTAGATAATTAAAATGAGAATTTAATTATCCTGAAATGTATATACAGAAATGTATATACAGTTTTTCTTAGACATACATTTAGTTAGTATCTATATAGTATTACTTTATTCTTATTAGTTGCAACATTATTGTATAGGAAATAGATAAGAACTTAGTAGATTTATTTAGTAGCTGCGAAGCATTTTTCCTGATAAAAATACATGCAATTTGCGTAAATAGCAATTATCGTCTAGTATTAATAAATTATTATTAATTAAAATCCATTTATATATTATCCTGTTTATGTTCAGCAAATGGATTCAAACATTGTTTCTGAGGAATAACTACAGATGGTTACATCTAGATTGGAATTTTAAATATAGTTTCATTTTTCATTTCTTTTTTTGTCAGCAGTTACTAGACAAAAGTTGATATACTGTCCAGTAATTGTTAAAAAAAAAGCATGAAATCTTCATAAGAATAATTTTTATTATATTTATCAAACATTTGACTGAAATTATTTTATCAAAACTTTTACAACTATAACCAGACTTTTTTTCAGTGCATGCATAAAGTTTGTTTTTCAATTCTTTTATCGCCCATCTCATTTTGTTAGTGGCGCATATAAATTGCTGTCCATATAGCAGACTACAAATGCGTTAATCTCGTCTCGAAATAGCAAACTCTGATCCACGTCGTGTACATCGCGGCGATTTTTCGTCATCATGCAGAGCATCGCTGACGCGTCGAAGCTTTCGTCAGCCGTCGAAAGCTTCGTTTTCGGTTAAAGCCCGTGGGAGGTTAATGGGCTTCACCGAAAATTGATGGGCGCTCGTGTATGCTCGTGTGAAATACTCACACCGGCGCCAATCTTTTTACTCTCCCGTATGCGCTCGTCTTTACCTTTCATAGACGCGCCGCGCGCCACATCGTCCTGAGAGGCACGCGGGCTCCGATCTTTTTATTTCGTCTCCTACAACGGCAATCACCAGGCACGATTTTTCCTGAAAACATTCGCGAGGTGCCGTGGTCTTCCATCTTCGCCACTTCTCTTCCTCTGTCGCGTTTAGAAGCAGTCAAAATTCATTTCGGCTTTTTTCATGAGCCACCGGAATGTATTGAAGAAAAATGAGGAGAACCCGTCTTCCGCTTTTAAGCGCGCGACGAGCACACTTTGTAAATGTATTGATCTGCTCACTGATACGAGCAATTTAATCTTCTTACGTCTAACTATTTCAAGAGCCTTTTAAATCAATAGGAGTTTGCTACATCGTGAATCGTCATTGACTTGTGATTCATGGACGTACAGGTATACGGATTACAATGAGTGATCGACGGCTGTAGTCCATGATTGGTAGTATTGTTTCATAAGCATCAAACGTTTCGATACAAGTCGACGACTATGGCAATGCGTATCAAAGGACTAAACGTATAAATCATCATAAGCCACGCTTTAACAGTCGATAAATCACATTCACTACATCGTAGCGTTCTCTATGTGTGCAGATTCGGGACAACCTGGCCGCTGAAGGGATGGAACCGCTGGAGGAGGAGATCCCGCAGGAGGATATAATCGGTCGTGATTACTGCCGTTACAACATAAAGCGTCCGATGACGCCTTAAGCTGCCGGAATCCTCTCAGCGAACGCCGTGAAACGTAACTCGCAAACGAGTCGAGCGATCGAAACAGAAACAGAGAGATATAAAGTATACAAAGAAAAGAGAAAGAGAGAGAGAAATAGAAGGATGAGAGGAGTGGAAGGCAAAAGTTCACTGCCCCAACGGGTAAAACTCACCCTTTACAACTTTACCACTAAGTTTGCGAGACCCCTCGCGTCTCCTAGAAACGACACGGTATCCGCTGCACATACAGATATGCACACGTTCTCTTTCTTTTCTTTTCTCTCTCTCTCTCTCTCTTTCTCTCTCCCTCCCCCCCCTCTTTCTCTCTCTCTCTCTCTCTCTCTCTCTCTCTCTCTGTCTTACCTCTTTCGATCCTTCTCGTCCTTACCCACGATTCTCATCTTTGTACGTAAGTAGGTAGATAAACTCGATTTCCGCCAAGGATCTCGGAGTCAGGAGATGTGAGTATTCACGAAAAATATCAAGACGGTCAGTGAACGTCAGTACCGCGACTAAGAGCACAGCGTCGCGAATAAAAATTGTAGTTAGACTAACAATGAGTCGCATCGCTAAGTTATTTCTAGAGGTAAAATAAGATCGGCTTACAAGTTTTACTTCCGTCTTTTAGCTCTTTTATCGCTTGATCTGCTTCACAAAGAAACATAGTAATGACAAAATAACAATTATACAAGTTTTATATTATTCCTTTGTTCCAAAATTGATACAATTTCAAAAATTAAATTTTACAGAAAAGGAAAAAGATATTTTTCAAAGAAAATTATTGATTAATCAAATAATAATATCGGCAAAAGAATATATTCTTAGAAACATGATCCAATATTACTTTGATTATTTTTGTATTATAACCCTTAAAAATTATCCTCTTTGAGTTGTAACATCCTAAAAAATTGTAAATCCAAAAATAATTAAAAAGTGACGTAACTCCAAATATTAACAGTTTATATTTACATTGATCTAATTTCAAAATAAAATAATTTTTTCTTCAAACTTCGATTACCAAAACTGCTTTAACTCTAAATATTCTCTGCAGAAAACGCTCATTTTTATTTACAAAAACAACACAATTCAAAATGTGTCGCTCTCAGAAAAGATATTATAATCTTCAAAAACTTTTAGAATGACACAAGTGCTATATTTAACAGACAGACTGTAAAATTAAATTAATTTAAACATTACTTTAAAATTAATTTACTTTGATGATTGATAGAATCTTTACCTAATTCCTTCGTAGTAGCTCAATAACTCATATAAAAATCATATTTTTTTAATAGTGTCACTTTTGAAATAAGAGAACAATATATAGAATTAATGTACACACATATAATTAAATAAACTATTTTGTAGTTGTTGTAACTATAAAATATGTACATTAATTTTATATATAAAATTTGTATGGTTGTCACCTTTGTAATTGCTACTATTACATCTTTCCCTGAATGCACAAGTGTAAGGTTTTATACATTATAATTCGTGTATCTGTATGTAATATGTGTATAATTTATGTTACATATTATACACGATCTCGTATTATGTATTATTATCATCGGAATAATATTTATCATAATAATTCTCATTAATCGATATTTTAATAACACTAGCTTGATGTTTCTCAAAGTAAAAAGAGTGACTAATTATTCTTAATTGCTTCTGTGTTTATGTAAAAATTAGAATTTAATTTAAAAATTTAATTTTAATTCAATCAACTTGCTTTATATTTCGAAAGATTTTCATATTTATTAACCGTGTCCAATCTACCGATAATGAGCAATAATAATGTTACAGCGTGTATTAATGAAGCGATAGCTCATTAATTTGAAACTACCACGAGTAGTGCTATTGTAGTGCTATTGATTACTGGAACGAGATATTGGCAAGCCATTGTACAATTTAATTACTTACTCTAGAAGCAAAATCAAATGTATGATGAAATATATGCAGAATTACGCTAAGTGCGTTCGATAACACCAACGCAACTACAAGCTTTATATGATAATTCAAATTAGTGTTCTTGCATCGTAACTCATTCGCTCATCAATTATTTCAATTATTTAATTTATGATTTATTTACTTCAAAGAACAATGCTCCGTATAGTTGGAATTTAAACTTTGGATAAATTTTAACAAACAGCGAAATACGATTTAGTAAAACGATTGAAACCCACTATGATATCCAATTACAGCGTTGCGGTACTGATACGTACACTCGTCATGCGATAGTCAAATGAGAAAGCATGCCTCGCGTGCTTCGTTGGTAAAAGGGTCAAAATTGGCTGTTAGTCAAGCTGTTAATGCAGCTGGGAAATGACTAAAAGCGAAGGGCGAAATATTCGAAAATTAGCACGATAACGAAGCGGAAACAAGCACCTTATCACTGCGATACGAAGACCAACGCGTTTGTATAAACGTTTAAACAATTTAGCCACGGGCATACTCGATGTTAAAATTTGTACTCAGCGATTTCCTCGTCGAAGCCGGAACCAAAAACTATCCTAGTCAATAATTTATGCTATGTATACATCACGATCGATTACTTACGACAAAACTGTCGATTTATTCGAGTACGAGTGGACGATTGTTGAGAATGTAAAACCGTGAACGAGAGAGATACGTGTTTTGCGTACGCGCGCGCGCGCGTGTGTGTGTGTGTGTGTGTGTGTGTGTGTGTGTGTGTGTGTGTGTGTGCGTGCAATATCCGTACATGTGTGAATGGCAACTTGTACATATGGTACCTGAAGTCGAAAAAACATATTATTCCTCTAGCACGTCAAGCCGGCCATGTTGGAGAACCAGGTCACCGAGTGTCCTCGATCCTTTTTAATCTAGACACGGAGTCGCGTCGATGGGTAGCTAAAAATTCATGTGTTTTGATTGTAACTCTCGCGGTATATTGTTTTTTGTTTTTCCAAATCTGGTCTCTTAATCTCGCCAACCGGCGACCACGATTCCAGATGGTAGGCTTGACCAATCGTGATCATCGGGGAGCTACGAACGGGGCTAATCGCGAAGCAACTCTCTAGCGATGTCGACCAAGTCGATGGATTACGGTTGCTTGATAAAATATAAGCCTTTCCTACGATTTTGCACGATCGAAGTTGACGTCGTATACGTACACATACGCCGGCGCATGTCGCGAATTGAGAACAATGAAATTTTTTTTAAATTCTATATCGTAATTATACCGCACCGTCGCATGCGATTTCGATGAATCGCATGATATTTTTATCTCGATGCGGCTACGCTCTCGCATAAACTGTTTTGCACCAAAATTTCATCATAGCAGAGAGCTTGGTGATTACATCGGAGCCTCGAATGAGCGCATCGATTTCCCTTGTGCCACGACGATATGGTCGTTAATTCTCCATTGCGTGGCAAATTCTATTTCAACGCGAATCGTTTAAAAAAAATCGTTTAAAAAGAGACAAAAACGTGTCAGAAACATATTTGCAAGTTACGTTTTTATCTGGAATAAAGAACAGAAATTTCATTATGTTTTTATACCGAGCAATATTACGATTTACAAAGGACAGGTGAAAATTTGTGTAAAATTTTGAATTGTATTCATTTCTATTATTGCGTGAAGGCAATACGATACAATCGAGAGAGTTAATCTGGTCGATCCCTTGCGCAGAATCCCGTTCGGCCGATTTAACGATTATTGTCATAATTATGGAATGGGATCGACGAAATGCGTGTCTCGCAACTAATATCCAATAAGGTTTCGAAAGTTACTGGTATCTAAAATAAATCCACGGCAAATCGGACGCCGTCGTTGCAAAAGCGATCGAGTTATTTATTTCGATCCTTTCCCCACATCTCGGTAAGTAGCATTAAAAATTTGCAGTGTGCATTACTGATGATCTTATGACGTTATCAGATTACGATATTTTGAGAAAATTTTAAATTGCAACCAAGAGAATAATAAGAACCATGTACCAAAATAAATCAGAGAATCAATCAAGAGTAACAATAAAAGAATACCAAAATAAATCAGATCAAGACAGACAAAATCAACCAACATTAAAAGAAAAAGAATATCAAAATAAATCAGAGCACCGATTATAACCAGCAAACATCAAATTTCATCTAATGATCATTTAAAATATTATTCAGTAAAAAATATGTTGTTTTTATAAATCTTGTATACTGCAGATATAAAAAAATCAGTAATATTAATATTATTAATTATTATAATTATATTAATAATTTATTCAATAAAAAACAGTCGATTATTTTGCGCACTAATTACCATGTATTATTCTCAATGATATGTGATAATTAGTACGCAAAATATTTCAGTAAAGAATATATTTGCTTTATAATTGTATCTATCAGAAAATCATACGTTTCATCGTCATTCAAGCCATTTTCAACGATGTGTAACAATACTATTTTTATATTTATATACGTTCTCAATATCTATCAGGTGAAACATCTTCTACTTTCAATAATTCAGAAGCGTCTGTCTCACTAGTTCACTCAATATATCAACTAGTGAAAAAGAGAGAAAAGAGAGAGAGAGAGAGAGAGAGAGAGAGAGAGAGATTTATTAATTATAAAAAGTTATAAAAATTATAAAAGATGTTTTACCTGATGAGTACTGGGACCATAAATGGCTGAACATATAAATGGCTAAAAATGACTTGAATAAAACCAAAACATACGATTTTTTAATAAATAGATACTTATTTGCTGGATAGATAGTTATTTACTAATTCAAGTATTTCTATTCTTTATTGAAAGCTAGCTAAATTTTTTCGCTATTCATTTCCTTTTCATGTAGTCTTAAACGAATTTAATTTTCTCGTACTATACTCTAAAGAGGATTAATTTACGTTCTTCAATAGGAAACAAAAAACTCATCACTGATCATTGACCGAATTCACGTGTGAATTCGCGGTCATTGAGCAAGAACGATGAGAAAGTTGGAAAAAGAGAATGGAAGCATCGTATATCCGTAGATGAGTGGAAGGCTTTTCAAGGATCAAATTAATTTCCCGGTCATTTCCGGAACCCTAACGAGCTCGTTAAAAAGTTTCGACACGTTTAGACCCGGATTCGGGCCATGGAAAAACCATTTAAGCTTCTTTCCATCGTCGGACTGCGGAGCTGAATGGACGACCGGTTTCTTCGCATACCTCCACGGACCACGTCTCAGAAGCAACTACTTTTTCCCTGCTTTCCAATGTCTACCTCGCACCTTTACGACCTACCCTCTTGCACCCCATCTCAACCTCTCATTTCGCCACTCGCCACTTCTTCGTCGTTCACCTCGCAGCCGTTCCTATTACCTCGATAGCAACTTTCAGCTCCTTCTTACCGTCGTTTAGCTGACATTCCACCGCAGAAACAGGGAGAAGGACACGAATGAGGGTAAAAATAAAAAGGAGAGGGAAACTAGTCATGAGTAGAGGAGCGCTGCAAAAGATAGCGTAAATGAGGAGGCTACTGCCGAGATCGTTTCCATAGGTAGCGGGTGCCAACCTGTGAGAGAGAACCCACTCTTTGTTTCGCCTCCCGACGAGATATCGGCTAAGTTTACTGTGGAAACTCGACCTATAAATTTCATCCCTTAATACGGGGCCCGGGAACGTATAATATGAAACCGTCAAGTTATACCTCGCGGCCGTTTTAAGAAACGCCTGATGGTGTTACTCACT